AATGCCCTGGCTTTGAGAAAAATTCCTGTAGAGAAGGGTGTCTTTGCAAGCTAAAAATGTTTCATGTTTTAACGTAAGAAAGTAGACTACCATATAGTCACTATAATGTGACAATAAACAAAGGAAAAAGTTAAATGCTGATGTTTAAATTCATTGACTGGAAAATATTTTCATAACTTTATTTCATAATAAGTTTTGAAAATTTTATTTTTCGGTCTTATTCTGATGAAAATATGTGCTGATAAATCAAAATATATAAGGGAACAGAAATTTCCTGTTGCCTTTAAATCTACATTACTCTCCACTGGAGGCAGGCACTCAACCCACAGAAAGCCAAGGTGAATTTCATCGTGCTAGATGCATTTTGAGATCAAATTAAAAAATAGTGTTACCTGTGACTAAAATGGGGTTTCTTACTGGTGTTTTCTTAAAAAAAAAAAGAGAAAGAGAAAAAAAAACAACTGAGTACTTATCTTGATTAAAACTGGGAAACATATGCTAGATCAGGCTCCCTGTGTCCACATTAGCACTTCAGCTACATCGAGGGTGCTCCTCAGGAGCAAATCATCCAGTTGCCCTCACTCACTGCCCTTTCGTTTGCAACACAGAACTGCACTCCTAAACTACGCAAGCTCTTGAGCAAGACCAAACCAGAAAATGCCCAGTGAATGCACTCCAGCAGCCAACACTTGCTCAGTCCTTGGACCAGACTAGAGCTATTCCTAGGGAAATGTCCCCGTAAACAGACAGGGCAGACCTCAGGTCCTCAGCATCAACTCTTTCACCTGAAAATCCCCTCCTGTCATGCAGCATTACTTGTTAATGCACACCCAGACATCATTCTGGTCTCACTTTCAGTGAATGTAAAGCTGTAGTAACTCTATTGGCTTAGCTGGGTCTAATCTGGATTTATGAAAGTGTAACTACAAGCAAATATGTGTTCCTAGGCTACGGCAGAAAGGCAGAATTTGCAATTCTGTCATCAAACAAAGGTCATGGTGGCCAGTAGCACCTGCCCTTAGGTATCTGATGCAGAAGATACTCACTGGATTAGCAGCTTCAGCTGCAATTTTTAGCTCATGATGAAGCTAATAAATGTCTCAACTGTCTGGCTTAGTTTTAGCAGGGAAAAGGGCTATGGGGGCTGCAGCAGCCTTCAGGCTTTACTTTCCAGAGGCTGCAGAGCGCATGCCTCAGCCTGAGGACATACCTGTCCCTGGAGTGTAGACTCAGAAAACCACTGGTCCTTGCTGGCCCCACTAGGATCCCTTTCTGGTGCAGCACCCATGACTTGCAGTGGAAATGCTGGGAACTGGCAGGAGGGAAGGATTAGCTAGAGATAACTACAACAGTGCAAAAAATGCCTGGTTTTGCTCCATGAAAAGAATTTGCAGCAAAACCAGACATGGATGGAAATCTGAGGGCTTGTGACTCCAGGTGCCTTTACACAAACTAGTAGCACTACTCACTGCTTTCATCGAGAGTGACCACAAGCAGAATAAATAAACAGGTTCACGCTAAATGGGTCAATATGGGCTCATCAATTTTCTTTCATGGCAAGCATGAGAAAAAACAAAGCCACCCTTATTTTTTCAAATTATGGCCAGGCACAACTAAGTGAGCCAAGAATAACAGGCTAGCTTCTTTCTAACTTCTCCTGTGCATTAGGGGCTGTATCCTATAAAAATACAGAAACAGAAAAAAAACCACCAATATTTGAAAATTACAGAAGACATATTTTCTTCCTTTGTAGAGCTCATTGGCTTGTCCTGGGTGTGCTTCATTTACACAGTAATGAGCCTAGCATCCCTGGCGTTTGTCATTGTGTTTATACCAGAGACTAAAGGATGTTCTTTGGAGCAAATATCCATGGAACTAGCTAAACAGTAAGTACCAAGACTGTGACCACATCCCCCAGGTGCCAGGGGGACAAAGAATTTTGATGTCTCCTGCTAAAAATACAGCAAACTGGGTACATTTTTTTTGGTGGAAAAATCATATTCTCGCAAGGCTTGAGTTTGTACATGTTGATCTCAGTGGCCAAGTAAACATTTTCTGGGTGCTGAAGGGCTGGCCCTAAAGAGATGGTGGTTTCCAGCATCCTGTAATGGCTCCCCAACACTTTTGCCAACTAGTGTTCCCAGAGAAGAGGACACCGGTGTTCTCACATTTAGGTCTGTGTGTCTTGGCTCGCATGCAGAAAAAAGGAAGGAGAGAGGCCCTATCTCAAATACATCAAGGTTCTATGTGAGTTTTGATAGCTGTCCTAGATGGGCATTTTTTTTGGTGCATTTACCAAGTCCTTTGGCTCTGTACTCCGTGAGGTCATCCCCAAACCAGATTCTTCCAGCATGAGTTCTGTGTTCCCCAGCTCACCACATGAAAAAAGTAGAAAAGCAACGAGAGGGAGAGTGTTGGTGATGTGAATGATATGTGCCTGCTCCTTCAATATGACCCATTCCAATTGGTTTTGTGTCTTTTGACTTTACCCGTGTTTTTCCATCTCTCAAAAGTAGAGTGGCTCTTGGAATTACACACATGCAAAACCAGTAGCACATCAGTTTGGAGAACAGAATTAAGAGGTCCGCTGATAACACATGCTGTTTATTTACAACATCCAAATGCAGGTATCTGTAAGTTAATGGGCAATTTTTACTATCAATTTGCTACTGCTTTCATTTTGACCATAAAAAATTATAGGAAAAAAATAAATATACCTGGTTTTTAAAATGTAGCATTCCTTTGATCTCTTTCAAGGAGCTGCTCTACAGCAACTACTTGCTTTTTAGAACACATCTCAGAAGAAAGCAGCAAAATAAATAAAATGATTAAGAGATGAAAAAAAAAAGGCAGACAAAATATTTTTGCAGGGTTGATGGCTTGGGGTGAGCATCAGGCTTCACCACAGCTGGTGACAGTGACATGGTGCCACAGGTGAGGCAGCATCCCCGTTTGTCCACACCCGTTTGTCCCAGGCTTGGCAGGGCACCGCAGACAGGGCACTGCAGACTCCTTCACCCTCTCCCTGCTGAGAGCCTGCCAGCAGGCTAGTGCTGCCCGGCGGCAAGACAAATGACACCCAGAGAAAGAGGCTTGAAGGCACAGGTAGAAATAGCCAAACTGAAAATAAGATACAAGTTTTGACAGTGGAAGTAATTAACGTGTGAACAGCCTAGGCTGGTAGGTCATCCTCTATTTTTTTTTTTATTACAGGAGAGGGTTTTTTTCCTAAAGGATACTTTGCGACTCAGCCAGGCTTGAAGGAGGTTGTTTGTGGGCTAATTAAGAGCACTTATCCCCGTGCAGAAAGTCCGCAGCTAATTGTGCTGCCGGAGCCCCGGGGCTCTCCCCCGCAGCGCTCACT